TTTATCCTTTCTTTATATATGTGCACATTCTCAAAAGGTTGCTTTCAAATTTTACTAATTCATTCAGTTGAAGAAAGCTGCTTCTCACTTGTAGCATTCACATTATAACGTAGTATGAAAACAACCCAGTAAATTTAGTGTTCAAGCTCAATTGATAGAAAATAAGACTTACCATTTATGCCAACTTGTAAGAGGACATGCCTCGTTGTGATTTTATATGTAGTCTATTTTTAGTCCTGAGTTGAAAATTTTGAGGTTCTTCAACAATTTAGGGATTAAGTTATCAAAACTGGGTATGATTTGTTATCCTTTTTTCACCCCTTAATTTGTTCATCAGATTTTGATGCCATTTGCTTGCTTAAATTTTTCAAAGATGAAATTGATGATGGTAAGAAGTGTGATGATAGACTGATCAATAGGGGTGAAAATATAGTTGCCCCTTTCAGAGCAATCTATGACTTGACCTGCTTGAAATTGAATTCAATTTGGTGTATCAAATATGGAATTTCGCCGTTCTAGATTGATTTTTTTTTTCCAATTTCAACTTTTAAAAATTATTTTAATATGTACATAATCTAAAATAAATTAATAATTTCTCAAATATCATATTTTATAAAAAATTATTATTTAAAAAATTTAAATTTAAATTATATTTAAACGAGTCAGATTTTATTGCAGCAATAGGCACCACCGTCATGATGCATTGATGTTTATTACTATGATAACGATCAAAATAGATTTATGTGAAGCTTGCCCATTTACTGCCTGCCTACGTCTAGCATGTTTGATAATGTAATATATTTGTCTAAGACTTTAATTTTTTCCACCTAAATCCCTATTATAGAACTTTTTAACTGATGAACCAGACTGTTATTCTATCAAGGATAATTTTGATATTTCACATTGAATAATTAAGTTTAATTAGTATTTTTATTAATTTATGTAAAGTCATTATTATGTGTTTATAATAACTAGAGGAGGAAGTACTTTTTTTATTTTTATAAAGAAAGAGTAAGTAGTATTCTACTAAATAAGTGTGAGGCCTTTTTAATCAAAGCTGATCTAAGGTTTATGAGGCAAATCTAATTACCAATTATATAACATGTACTTTAATTAACAATTAATACATATATATTACAGCTACAATACCTATGAAATAACTAAAGTAAATGATATATTCCCCTGATCGCATTATAGTGTTATATAAGCTAATTAAGGAGTTAACATTAATATTATATATAAAATTTATTTCAAATTAAAATATTTTTTAATAATATCATATAGGAGGGAGGAAGAAAAAAATACCATATTAATTAGGGTTAAGGTGCGCCAGCACTGAACTATTTACCCAGGTGCGTCCAGTGGTAAAGTAATTTTGGATGCATCCAGGTCCTAAACTATTAAAATGGTGCGTCCATATCCCAAACTACAGAAATGTTATGTTTAACTGTTACTTTCCTGACTCAGTTTAAAGTTGACCCATATATTCTACATGATAGACACATGGACACTCGATGTGTATATTCTTACTCACAAAGTCAATTTATTTAAAAGAAAAGGAAGGAAATAAATTCAAATGTTTTGAGTAAGAATAATACATATCAAATGTCTATATGTCTACCATTTAGAATATCTAGAGTCAACTTTAAGTTGAGTCAGGAAAAGTAACAGTTAAACATAACATTCTGTTAGCTTGGGATATAGACGCACCATTTTAATTAGTTTAGAACACTGGATGCACCCAAAATTACTTTAAGTCACTGGACGCACCTGAATAAAATAGTTCAGGGTGCTGGGTTACACCTTAGCCCTATTAATTATTTTAACTAATATTCTTAAAATAAACATTGTTCACTGAAAAAACAACTAAACATTAAACATCACATACTATCTTCCGTTTGAAATATCAAGACCCTCAAGGCCGCACTCAGGCACTCAGCCGCCGTTCTCCCTGTTACTGGCACTCGGTCATCAGCCCCACTCTCGCCGGTGCCTACTGCCTACCGTTTTCGTCCTTCACGCATCTTGCCGTTTCCGTACCGCTCGTGATAAGTCGTGATAAAGTGGCCTCAACCTTTATCCGTCGCCCGTCGTGCTCGTCTAAGTCTTCTTCCCCGTCGCCCACCGTCGCCCATTTCTGCATCGTCATCTAGGGAAGCGAGGCAAGGTTCCATTCTTCCATATTCAGTGATTTCTTATTCCTCAAATGCTTTAAATGTCTCCCTTTCCATGCGTGCTGATTGCAGAGCAATTTGAAAATTTTGAACCTATGGGATCAATTTGAAAAGTGCCTTAAGTCAGTTGTAGGGGCCAAAATATTAATTTTTCCTAACGCGGATTTAAGAGTGTGCAAAAAGTTAGGTTTTTTTTTTTTTTTCCCCGTTGGTATAAACCCTGCAGGTTTATTGTTCGAAGTCACTGTAGTGTTAAAGAAACAAATTGCCTCTAAGACTAGCGCGATACGCAGAACAGAGACCACTGGTAGCTGGCCGTATTCGAGCTTCACTCCTTCTTTCCTCCATCAATGGCAAAGCCCTGATGCCCAAAATGCGGAGGTTCCAGAGACCACCAAGAAGATGCGAGCTTCACTGGCTTCCCTCCTTTGGCAATGGAGACATCGAAAGCCCGATGCAAATAATAGGCTAAGCAATTATTTATCCAGCCGAATCCCTTTTACGGTAAGCATTCCATGAGATTGTTCTGGTTCAGTTGAAAATGCTGTGTTTTATTGAGTACTCTTGCAATTCTACGAAAGGATCTTTTTTTTGTTTTTTTTTTGTTTTTTGGGTATATGATGTGATGTGTATCCAACAACGATACGAGAGACTTTTCACGCTTGGTTCTCCCACATTGTGGACTAGCAACTGTTGGAAGTACAGATTGCAGGGGTTGTTATGCCAGTAAACGAATATATACTGGCTGTGGTTTTAGTGAATTTTGGTTAGGATGATTATGAATACTCTGGTTGTTGATAATGTATATTATTTCTCTTGTATAGCTAGGTCTTTTACTTCGGTCGCAGTCATTAGCATGCAGAAAAGACTCTATGGCTTTTGTTTAGGAGTTATATCTGAATTAGGTTGACAACAGTTGCCTTTTGCTTTAGTTGATCCTTGATTATCAATTATCAACAAAATTAATCTTAGTTACACTCAGTCTTTGTGACGATTCTGTCCTCTGTTAAATTTGAAGGGTAGGAACCCTGTGTCCACTTGTTTAGCGGCCATGTCTCACCAAATTCTTCAACGCCATCCTTATTCTGAATTCAGTGTGTCTTCCTGCCATCCCCGAAGTAGGCATCCACAGCAGTTGGTCTCTCTTCTACTCAAAGACCCATCAAACCGCCAAGCTGCCCAGCAGGTCCACTCTCATATCATCACCTCTGGGATGCTTCTATACCCCTTTTATTGCACCTCTTCCTGGTTGTTTCTCTTCAACACTCTGATTCGCTGTTACTCTCTTGGCCTCTTTCCTGAAGAAGCTGTTAGGTTTGGTATATCTTCCCTAAACTGCCATGCATTTCTGAGGTATTGTTCCTTTGACAGCTATACTTATGCCTTCCTCTGTCATGCCTGTGCCAACTCAAAATGCATTCACCTTGGAATCCAGATTCATTCGGTCATATTCAAAGTGGGTTTTCACTTTCACTTATATGTACAAACTGCTTTGCTTCATATGTACTCAACCTGGGGTCTCTTAATTGAAGCGGCACAAGTGTTTGACAACATGCCTAAAAAAAATACTGTTACCTGGAATGTTTACATTACTGGTTTGATCAGATGCGGTGAGTTTGACCTTGCCTTGTCATTATTTAATAAAATGCCAGCTCGGAGTGTTGTCTCCTGGACGATTATTATGGATGGATTTACACGCATGAATAAGCCTACTAAAGCATTGACTATGTTTAGGGAAATGGTTGTTTGTGATGGCATAAAACCAACTAAAGTGACTCTTCTGACCATTTTCCCAGCCATTTCCAATCTTGGGTTCATTGTGATTTGTCAATCCATCCATGGCTATGCAGAAAAGAGAGGTTTCAATGCCTCTGATATACGCATTATGAATTCACTGATAGACTCTTATGCAAAATGTGGGTGCATAGCAAGTGCAAGCAGATTCTTTACGGAGATATCTGTTTACAAGAAAAATTTGGTATCATGGACATCAGTGATCTCAGGTTTTGCAATGCATGGTCTGGGAAGACAGGCTGTAGAGTATTTTGAAACCATGGAAAAGGCTGGGTTGAAGCCAAATCATGTGACATTTTTGAGTGTTTTAAATGCGTGTAGTCATGGAGGATTGGTTGAGGAGGGGCTCAAGTTTTTTCATAAAATGGTTAATGATTGTCAACTTATGCCAGATATCAAGCACTATGGCTGTCTAATAGATCTGCTTGGAAGGGCAGGTAGGTTGGAAGAAGCTGAAAAGATTGCTTTGCAGGTACCTCATAAGGTTGCCAATGTTGTGATTTGGCGGACACTTCTAGGTGCTTGCAATTTTCATGGAAACGTTGAAATTAGTCAGAGGGTGATGAGGAAAATACTTGAGATGGAGAGAGAGTATTCTGGGGATTATGTTCTTATGTCCAATATTTTTGCTGGTGTTGGAAGGTTTGGAGATGCTGAGAGGTTAAGAAAAGTAATGGATATGAGAATTGCTTTTAAACTTCCTGGCTACAGTTTATTCTAAATGCTATAACATTTCTATTTAAAACAGACAGGCAATTTCGCTATAAAAGATATTCAGAATATGCTCAAGGCATCATATTGTGGTAATGCACATTACTATGTTTGCTTTGTTTCCTTCGGGTTTTCAACTGTCTAGATGCAGATAAAAGGTTTTTTAGAATTGTCATTTATAAATTTTCAAATGTGTTTGTGCTCCACCTTCCAAACCTCAGTGTGGCTTCTGTATGAAACACTTTTGTCTGATTGTAGGAATACAAAAATAGAAACTATTTACAAAGTTCCCGCATATGAATCTAAGCTCGATAATGTGTATCTGACACTGATACTTGTGTGGGCTTTGGCGTATGAGTGGTTCCTGGACCTACAAGCATTCCAATATTTATTTTACTTCTAGGTCTTCCATTCCTTCCTGGGATTTTGACAAGGTTTTGCTGACAAGGTTTTGCTGAAAGCTAAATTCTGAGCTTGTCATGAACCAATATTGAACAGCTTGGTCATGGCCTTCAAGTTCAACAACAGCACTTGTGTGGACAACACTGTATTACTGTAGCATGCTAATGTTCTTGTCAAAGGCTCTGACCAAATAAAAGAAAGAATTTTGATTGTGTTTTTGGAATGTGTAGTTTATCTTTATCATTATGCTTTCCCTAATATATGGGATATTGCATAAGTTTTGTAATTCGTTTGCTACCATTTGGCCACTCTGTTGGTTCTGCCTTGCTTGCATGGAATAGTGATGGGGAAAATTTGCCCCTCATTATGGGGAAGCTGTGGAAAAGGTTGGGACAGAGTGATGGGAGGGCCTTCTCACCTAGGCTTAACCCTATGGCCGCTTGTTGTGTGGGTAAAAATTTTATCACTCATGTAGAAGTAGGTTTGAGTTGTTTCTCCCTTAAAATCTCCTTTTCTTGTGCTTTTTCTTTAATTAATGCCTTCCACGTTTATAAAATATATGTCACTTTGGATAAATCATATACGTTAATGTACATGATTTTAATGTATATGATAGAGTAGAGTTCTGTCTTGACATTTTGAGCTTTTGAATTTTGCCGTTTGAATTTCTAATTCCTTCTGTCTGTTTTTACCTTTCTTTGAAAGCCAGCCACAAATTTAATTCATGAGTTCCAATTCTCTTTACTTGATTATGTTTAATGTCTAATCTTTTTCATTCCTATTTTCCTGTGATGTGTCCCTCAGTTGAAGAGCTATGGTTCAATTGCAAGTGAGAACTGCAGATCTTCTCTATGCTTTTCTTCATTGTAAACTAAAAATGACCTGAAGTAGCTGAGATCTTGTACAAGCCAGATGCATCGACAACTAGCCATCTTTAGTCACCAATTTATTTCAAATTCCAATATTTTACGGACACTTAGCAACTCCACTTGGATATTTTCTCAACCTAGTTGCAGAAATCATGTAGCCAATGGTTTTGCCAACTATCGATCACCCTCCTTTAATCCAGTGCGCCCACATGCACCAGATCCTAATGATCCCTCCACTTTGATGAAGGAGGATGGGGTTTCAGTTTGTTGTCAAATGTGGATTGAGAATTACCGTGAACCTGATAGAGTTGTCACCAACTTGACTTCATATCTTCGTCGGTTTGAATTGTGGGTATTGGCATACCAGAAGGTTTGTGCTGATGAGACAGGTGCTTATCTTCCTCGTAATGCTGTGCAAAGGTCGGCTCTGGAAGATTTGTTGGCTCTTAGAAATGCTGTTCTTGATAATAGGTTCAAATGGGGAGCTCGGCTGGACTTCTTTATAAAATCTCCCAAGGATAAGACTGATTATCAGTCCTTGTCAAAGAGAAAGATTAAAGCAATTTTAACTACTACACAGCCAGCACCATTTCAAGATAAAATTGTTCAGGAGGTTTTGCTTATGATTTTGGAGCCAATTTATGAAGCTCGGTTTTCACAGAAGTCATTTGCATACAGACCAGGAAGGAATGCGCACACAGTCCTGAGGGTAATTAGGAGGAATTTTGCAGGCTATTTGTGGTATATAAAGGGTGATTTGAGTACAATTTTGGATGGAATGAAGGTAGGCCTAGTGATAAATGCTTTAATGAGAGATGTGAGGGACAAAAAGATTATCGACCTAGTGAAAGCAGCATTGACAATGCCAGTCATCACCAGTACTGTTGATGATGGGGAGAAAAAGAAGAAGAAGAGGAAGTACCAGAAGAAAAGGGTGCTAGCAGAGGATGAGCCCAAGCCTGATCCCTATTGGTTGGAAACGTTTTTTGGATTTGCCCCTGAGGAGGCAGAGAAAATTCCAAATTGGGGGCACTGTGGAATTCTTAGTCCTCTGTTGGCCAACATTTGCTTTGATGAGTTGGACCGCTGGATGGAAGGGAAGATCAAGGAGTTTTATCGTCCATCAAAAAGTGATGTCATATGGAACAGTCCTGAAAGTGAAGCAGAGCAAGGAAACACATCCTGGCCAGAATTTGTGCCCACAAGTGGACCTGATAAAACCCGGAAGATGGATTATATACGTTATGGAGGGCATATCTTAATTGGTGTTCGTGGTCCAAGAGCAGATGCTGCAACACTGAGAAAGCAATTGATTGAGTTTTGCGATCAGAAGTATATGCTTAAGCTTGATAATGAGAGCCTCCCTATAGAACATATAACTAAAGGTATAATGTTTCTTGATCATGTATTATGCAGGAGGGTGGTCTATCCAACCCTTCGATACACTGCTACTGGTGGCAAAATCATCAGTGAAAAGGGCGTAGGAACCCTTTTATCAGTCACCGCAAGTTTAAAGCAATGCATTAAACAATTCAGGAAGTTGAACTTCCTGAAGGGAGATAGAGACCCAGATCCTCAGCCTTGTTTTAGAATGTTTCATGCCACTCAAGCTCATACCAATGCTCAAATGAACAAGTTTTTGTCAACCATGGTTGAATGGTACAGGTTTGCAGACAATAGGAAAAAAGTTGTTAACTTTTGCTCTTACATAGTACGGGGTTCCATTGCAAAGCTATATGCTGCTAAATACAAGCTCCGTTCACGAGCAAAAGTATATAAGATTGGTTCCCGAAATTTGAGCCGTCCGTTAAAGGAGAAAAAAGGCCAGTCGCCTGAGTACCATAATTTGCTGAGGATGGGTCTTGTTGAATCAATTGATGGCCTCCAATATACTAGGATGTCTCTTGTGCCTGAGACAGACTACACTCCATTTCCAGGTAATTGGATACCGGACCATGAAAAGGCATTGCTAGAATATATAAAACTTGAGGATCCAAAGACTTTGGAGGAACAAAGGAGTTCCATGAAGGAACAAGGCCTTGTTTCACCTCAGGATTACATCTCTATGCTTGTTTGGAATTACAAAAGAAGTTCTTCCTTGGTAGATCAGGTTTCCTTAATGCAGAGTGACGAAAGCATTACAAAAAGCAATCAGCAATTGCTGGAAGGCTCCGACCAGGGCAAACATATTGACGTAGGCAAAGAAGAGGAAGATACTGATGAAAGGATTGATGAAGCACGGATGTCACACATGGTTTTGTAATTCTGTAATTTTTATCTAGTAATCTATAACATGTCATTATTATTATTTTTTTTCCAAAAGAATGTTGCGAGAAATTTTGGAGTCTCAAGTGGCAGAAAATTTGACACTTTGAAGGTAGAAGTTTTCAAACTATGTTTAGCCTGGTCCATATATGATGATTATCAGTGCACTTGTAAAGTTCTTTTCTAGTGTCTTAACTACAGCAGCACGCTGCATGTTGAATAATGTAATTAATACTCTTGAATATGATATTGAGACCTAAGAGCGTAGAAGACTAAACCATTGGTCAAATTATTTGCCTAACCTTTGTGTTGGTATATATTGTCGCGACTTGAGATACAAGTTGTAATGATAATTGATAGTGTAAGCTCTCTAGAGAAGCCACGAGTTTAATGTAGCAACTACTAATCAATATGTTAGTATGCGTCGGCTTTTGGAAATTGCTGAGCACCTTGGGGTAGCCTCTCGCCACATATGGGATTACTATTAGTAGGTGCCTCTTAAAAGTGGCCAGCATGTTGCATTCCCAGTCCATGATGTTGATGGTTCCTGTCTTAAAGACAAGATTCAGTTTATAGTTATAGATTAGATGTTATATTTAAGACAGAGGTAGTATTTCTCATATCGAACCTAGATTCAAATATTCAATTATACATGCAAATATAAGAATTACTATGTGATTATAGTGTTGAAAACATTGGAATGCCCGATAACTGTTGAATATGCATTTTTCTTTCATCTGATAGTCCAAGAACTTTTGGTGAACTTTCAGTCTCCTTTCGCATCATATGCATCCAACATATCTTTTTTTAAATATTGTCTCCAGTTTTTAATATAATGGTTAGGTAATGATTTGATTTCAGGCCAAAAAAAAAAAATGACTTGATTTGGTTTTAAATATAAGTTTTTATTTCACTGACTCTTAAATTTATAATTCATTCTCTAAAATATTCTTGTTAGTTACATATATTAATAGTAGTTATGATTATAAGGACTCTTTTGGAAAATTAGTCCATACTTCTTAAAGATAGCTAATTTAACCAAGTTTTTAATATATCTAAATTAGTTAAGCAGTTCTTATATTTATGATCAAAAGCAGTAAGTTTTATGAGCATGACATAGAGAAATGACGACTTATTTTGATAATAATTTTTGCAGAAACAAAGTGGAACTGAATATGTAAATGACAAATGGGCTATTTACTACCTTATTTTAAGAATTAGTTTGATATCTAATTTGGTTCTAAATATAAGATATTAATTAACTTTATTTCTAATATTTATTTATTTTTTTTAAAGTAGTTTTTAAAATAGTTACATATGTTAACACACACATGCATACACATATTTACATATAATATTTGAAAAGTCTTTGGCGGCCAGTTTAAAAAAAAAAAACAGAAAAAGTCATGCTATCCAAAAAATTATGCTAGTTTTTCACAATTCTGTTTTTTTCCCCAAAAGTTTTCCACAATTCTTATAATTAACTCGGCTAGAACTAGGTTTATACTCTCTCCATTCTAAATAAAGGAGCTATTTGATGAACTTTGTTTTATTTTGATCTTAAGCATAAAATTTATCCCTTATGTCTTCCATATTTGTTAATTTTTTTTTTCACAGACTACCTCTACCCATTGCACACATTTAATTTAATTTGTGCTATCAATAACGATAGTTTTGAAGGAGCCAACTTGAAGGAGATGCACTTTACAAACACTAATATGCTTTTTTTTTTTAACATATAAATAACTTAACTAGTTTTCTTAATTGATATAAATCAATTGTTTATCCCTTACATTTAAAATCAGGGATAGAAATATATATATATATATATTAATAGAATGATATTTTATGCCAGTTCCTTTATATTAGTTACTTTTTGAAATGCCTAAATTTACAAGTGAGATTTTCAATGGTTTGACTCTCCAATCTCCATTATTGAAGTTAGAAAAGCCATCTCTCCCTCCCTCTCCCCTTCTCTCTACTTGTAATGTTCCACGCAGCCAAGTTGGTTTTTTCTTTATAGAAGACAAAATCATATTATAATAAAAGTATCATGACACAATACAGATATAGAAAGTGAACAAGAATGAGAATTAAAAAGCCTATAAAAAAATGTTGGTTGTGTTGTTCAAATTGTGACATCCGAAAAAGAAGCCGGCACTGAGAGGATATTCTATTATATAACATATGCTTCAAACCAGAATTAGAACGATTCAATTGAATGAATTAATGCAGATAACCTCGAGATTTAATCTTCGTGAAGAAAAAAATTCATTTTTTTAAAACCCAACATATATTAGCAGCACAAAAACATTGAATGAGAAAGACATTACAACCTGTATATATATTACCTGTCCCATATAAATTGCTGCAAAGCTAATCCAATAAAAAAATAGAATTAATATCATTGTTGATCCTTATAGCTTTATTCAATTTTGGTTTTGGTTTTTATAGTTTCAAATCGCTGGTTTTAATCTTTATAGTTTCACAAGGATATAATATGATTTTAAGTACAAGGGACAGAAACGTAAGGGTAGAAACAGGCCAGGCGACCTGTCAGGGACCTATGGCCTGGCCTGTATTTGGCTTGGCTTGGCTTGACCTGTTATACAAAAAAAAAGTAGGCTCGAACCTGTTTAAAGGCCTGTTTAACTTAATAGGTCAAATTTAGACTTTTTGAAAAGCCTGTTAGGCTGGTCTAGGTCTGTTATAAATTTATAATTATAATATATAAGAAAAATTAGTTAATGGTACTATTATTAATATGCTCCTTTAATTTATTTTTTAATTTTAATATATAGTTAATGGCTTAATGCTTCCTTGGATTTTGAAGTTTAGTTGACAAGTGAATATAAAGATATAATTTAAAATAATAATATCAATAACTAATGTGATCTTTAAATTTTAAAAATATAAATAAAATAGGAAAGAAAAATTTTGTTCCAAGAATGATAAATTAATTAACTATGTGTTATGTTAATTAAATTATGATACCCTCTTTATTCATTGTAAAGTTAATAGTTTTTTCTCTTTATTTATTGGAAAAATTGGTAAAAAAATCCTTGGTTGAAAATTTAATTGGCTAAAAGGACTTGAATTTGAGCAAGTGTAACTATGTTCCCTGAGTGCAATATATCTTCCGCTGTGTGCAATATATAATCAATGTGTAATAATTATCAATATGGAAGTCATTTGCACACAACGAAAGATAAGTTGCACACACTGAAAGATATGTTACACTCATAGATCATACTTGTATGTGGTCACATTCAAGTCCTTTTAGCCATTAAATTTTCAAATAGGAATTTTTTTTACTAATTTTCCCTTATTTGTCTTGATTTTAATTTTTATTTTGTACTTAAATGTAGTCTTGTTCCAAATTTTAATATACAATTATAATTAGTTTTGAATTATATATATCCTTGTAAATTGTAATTAAGATTTAAAATAGGACTTATGACACTAAAATATAAATAAAAAACAAGACTAAAAAATTAATTATAATGTACGCTTTTTTTAAGCTTAGCTATTTTTTTTTAAATATCACTATGTAATTTGAATTTTTTAAAAATACAGGTTTGTTAATAGGCTTCAGGCCAGGCCTTTATACAAGCTAGGCTCAGGCCTTGGGTCAGAGCGTAAGCTAGTGATGCTTTCAGCTACTAGGCTCTAGCCATCTAGGGTGCAGCACTCCACCGCTTCGCCTAGTAGCATGACGCTTGTATTGCTCTCCCACAACCCTGTTTTCACGGTTTAGGTTGCTCCCGCCTATCCGAAAGGAAAGAGAATTTAGTACTTCTTGGTCGTGAATATCGGAATAGAACAAACCGTCCCGTGGATATCTTTGCCTGTTAAAAGTAAGGTCTGGCCTGACCTAGCCTGTTTCTACCCTTATAGAAACCATAACTCATTAAAAATATAGAGACCATTTGTTAAACTCAGACCAAAAAGTTATGAAATATAGAAACCAAAACTAATAATTAAAATTATGGGATCAAAATCGAAATTGGATCAAACTATAAAGACTAATAACGGCATTAACTCATAAAAATAATAGCATCAAATGAGAAGATCCGTTTGGAAAATGTGATACTCCAGCCATCAATTGATAAATGATTTATTGAGAATGTGGGCTTAATTGGTTGATCTTTCTTAAAGCATGATATATCTTTCACATGATACAAAGCTTTTGCTCCGTCCAGTTTCTTTTGCTCAGCTAGATTTTTATGTTATGTAATCTGTGTTTATTTTCTTTTACTTCTGTATTTCAATCTAACCTTCTTCAATATAAATCTTTTGGTTTTCTTTCCAAAAAAAAAAATTGTTGATCTTTCTTAATGACTCGCAATTCTTAGTTAGAATATGCTAAGTGTATGAGAGAGAGCAAAAGCCAAGTTGCTTATTATGTATCCCACGTGTTGCTTCTGTTTAATAGAACTTGCTTTTACTCAAAAAGAAAAGAAGGAGAAAACTCATTTCAGGGGGGAAAAGTTAGAAAACCAGCCCCTTGTTTTCGCACGTTGTTTTGTTTTTAACAAAAACAACTGCTTTACCAAAGTATATCTGTTTCGAATCATTAATTTTCGAAATATTATCAACTAAATAGTGCATCGCAATTGGTGTAATTAATTTTTTTAAATTTTTTTGGGTCAAGGGATAATTTGGTTATAACTTGTAACCAGTCTTGTCACGGATGCGCCTCTGTCCAGGAACAAGGAATCACTCAATTTCCGGATTCGCATAGATCAAGTAAATTTGTCGTTTCATATCATAAGTCCTCATGGCTTCTTTCCTTTTTCGTTTTTTTTTTCTTTTTATCCTTTCGCTTTTTTAATTAGATGCCCAAGCTTTATGGGGACATGGAGCCGTCCCAGTTGACAAGTTTAATTTGGTGAAGGCAAAATGAAAATTGGATTTGTTTGGGTTAAAGAGTTGGTTGTTTAACAATAGTTAAATCTGGGTTAATCTAATTATAATTAAGATAAGTTATTTAAAATGTACAAATATATATAATATAGAAAAGAATAATATTTAAATAAAGAGGCGTTAATAATCCACAAACAAATGGAGCATCCATGCATAGATCTTATACAATTCGACAACATAGAGTTCATAGAGCACAAATGCGACATGTTTTTTCAAACTCAAAATGATGTCATTTTAACGTTAACAAAGAGAGAGAAAAAAAATGAAATTTAATCCTTCCAACTAAGAAATTGGTTTATTAGCTTGACTGCCTAATCTGGATTGAGTTTTCATTACATGAGTATCATATAATTTTGAAAAAAAAAACAATTGACATAGACCTTTCTAACAAAATGCTTTTTCCTTTAACAGGACACGTAAAACCAGCTAGTATATAAATCCGTAAACACCGTCCAAATGAAGTATCAATCTCCTAATACTAAACACACTTATTGTCCATATCTCGATCTTCTCTCAAATTCCCCACTTTGATTTTGAGAACTTATTAATGGCGGCGCTACGAGCTCCTAATCTTGTCTTCACCGTGAGGAGGTGCCAGCCGGAGTTTATAGCTCCGGCGAAGCCTACTCCTCAGGAAGTGAAGCTTCTTTCAGACATAGATGACCAAGCTGGTTTACGAGCCCAGACTCCATTCATACACTTTTATCGTTCTGAACCTTCCATGGCAGGGAAGGATCCAGTAAAAGTCATCAGAGAAGCATTGGCTCAGACACTTGTGTTTTACTATCCATTTGCAGGAAGACTTAGAGAAGGTGAAGGTGGCAAACTCATGGTGGATTGTAATGGGGAAGGAGTTATGTTCATTGAGGCTGATGCTGATGTCATCCTTCAACAGTTTGGTGATGATCTTCATCCTCCATTTCCATGCTTCCAAGATCTTCTTTACTCACCCCCAGGTTCAGATGGAAACCTTCACTGTCCCATCTTGCTCATTCAGGTCTCACATTCACTTCTCTCTCTCTCGCGCTCTCTTTTTTGCTTGCTAAAGTATATACTCTCTCCTCTCCTTAGAGAATTAATTAATTTGTATAGATTAAAAAAATGTGTGTTGGTTTTTCATACAATATTTCCTTTTATCTATTTTATCATTTGAATCAGAAACCACTTTCTTAGTATGAAAAGCCCTTTAATATGTGCAATCGATAAAGAGAGTTCAGGCAAAAATTATAAATTTAAAAAAGAAAGTGATTGAAATATTATATTTAGAATTAAAACAAATCCCCCTACTAGAGATTTGGATCCTCTCTTCTTATCATTTTTCTCTTCTTTTTCTCCTCATCCCATCCTTACCATTCTAAATATAAGATCAACTGAAGTCTTAACTAATTAGAAAAATGAGCAAAAATGCCTGTTGAATTTCAAAATGATAAATGGGTGATCTTAACAGATTCTGACTTATAAAAATTATTACAAAAATAGTCAACACCAACTATTTGTCATTTTGAAATCCAACAGGTATTTTTTTTTGTCATTTTCCCTTAATTAATTAATTGTAATTTATGATATAGATAATTTGTGACATTTCTTCAAATATGACTCTACTATTTAATTACTAAAATTTAATACGCAGAGATAAAATAATATAGTTCAATAAATAGGATATATTATAGAAAAGAAAATTTTAATATATGGTTGACAAGAACAAATGTGACCTTATATTTAATTAGAACCAGGCTAAAATCTTCAAGTAGACGTTATATTTATGATAAGAAGCAGTGTGTGTGAGAGAGAGAATTCTGCAATACTAATATGATCCATCTTCATGAATTACAGGTAACACGTCTCAAGTGTGGTGGCTTCATCTTTGGCCTTCGCATGAATCATAGTATGAGCGATGGACCTGGTATTGCACAATTCATGAAAGCCCTGGCCGAAATAGCCCAAGGTGCAACCCAACCTTCGATTCTACCAGTCTGGAACAGAGATCTTCTAAACGCAAGAGACCCACCAAACATTACACTCACCCATCATGAGTACGATGAAGTGGTCGGCGACGATATTCCCTCCACCAACATTGTTCATCGGTCTTTCTTCTTCGGACCCTCCGAAGTCTCATCCCTCCGTAGATTACTTCCCAACCACCTAACCCAATCAACCTCATTCGACCTCGTCACGGCTTGTCTCTGGTATTGTCGTACAAAAGCTTTAGAACTAGACCCACAAGACGATGTTCGTCTCATGTTCCTGGCTAATGCACGTATGGGACGTGATAGATTCAACCCTCCATTACCAAAAGGGTATTATGGGAATGCCGTGGTGTTTCCGACGGCGTTTTCGACTGCCGGAAAACTGTGTGAGAGTCCGTTAGAGTATGGTTTGGAGTTGGTTAGAAAAGCAAAGGATGTAGTGAATGGCGAGTATTTTCACTCGGTGGCTGATCTGTTGGTGAGCAGAGGACGACCCAGTTTCACCACAGTGAGGTCATTCATTGTTGCAGATTTTTCTCGTCTTGGATTTAAAGATGTTGATTTTGGGTGGGGCAAGGCTGTGTTTGCTGGTCCTGCTTTGAGTGGACTTGGCACATTTCAAGGATTCACTTTCTACGTTGGATATACGAATAGTAAAGGTGAGGAAGGAAGAATCATACCTGTTTGCCTGCCGCCAGAAACCATGGAGAAATTTGCCAAAGAGTTGGATCTCTTGCTTAACAATGCTAACCAATCTGCCATTGATGGTTAATACGTAGATGCATGCAAAAATGCCGTCAAGTATTTGCATAGTTATTGTGTTTTTGTGTGTGTGTCTGTGTGTGTATGTGTGTGTATGCACGTCGTATATATGTTCATGTTTGTTTATGATGATGTCCGTTGTAATGCATTGAGGCTGTTCCGCAGTAGTATACCATGGGTACGGTAGTGGAGCTGCCTTTATTAATATGAGAGTTTTGTTTAGAAAACCATTATTTTCCAGTGAAGTTGTTGCTAAGCTAGATTGAAGTTTACCAGAAACCCCAATCTGATTCTGGGACTGGTGGTTGATATGGGATGATGATCGAGCCAGACAAATACTTTTGATCAGGTTGAACCACTTTGGTTGCTGGTAATCGGAGACATTATTGCTTCTGTGTATGGTCAGTTTGGTCATCTAATATATGCTGGGGGATGAAACCCTCTGGTGTCACCAACTAAGGAAAAGAAGAAAATATGTGACCAAGTAAGGCTTTAATAAAATCTTGTCCCATAATGGCTGCTACCTTTATGGTTTGATCCATTATCTCTGAAAGTAGTGGATGTTAGTGGATAATTGTATTATGTAATGAACATAATGGTTAAAAGGAGCCATAGTTTTTCTTTGCCAAAAAATAGAACCACAGATGATGAAATTTCTAATTTAACACTAACACTGCATTGATTACAGAACACTCTCAACACAGATTAGGGAACTTTGCAGCGGCTGACAAGTGACCTGGCTTTCATCTTACATAAAGAGAAAGAAATACAGACAAAACAAGAAAGTAAAATAGAAGAGCAGATCCAGTCGTGCTCACTTGTAATACACCATCCCATTCCCAAATGTAGTTGAAACCTCGCCAGCAGGATGATTATTTCTGCAACTTTCTCCAACCATCTACGTAATCAAGCAAAGTTGTCACATATTCATAAATTACAACAAGTATATATAGGCTTAGATACAATTCACATGTGTCACATGCTAACAACAATTCACTAATTTATTGCAATGTGCATGCTCTTCAACCAGCCTCAGGGCCTACATTATATTTATATTCACATGAGATTGAGAGTAACAAACATAACATTAAGAAATTTTTTTGAATAAAAATACGTAAAAATTTTGAACTTATCATCATAGTAAACATTTTCTATAGATTGATGATATGTTGCAATTCACAACAGCAATCTAGCAAATGAATAATCTGATTATCAGGGTATCACAATTGTATTGTAAAAAAAATGTTTACCTGTTAGTGTTGGAATCTTCTCTTTATCTTTGTCTTCAAAATAGCAACTTGAACATAAATCCAGTCGTACGTGTTTTCAAAGAAGTGGAAAAAGAAATGCCGCCAAGACTTTTTGAGAATTAAAGTCCCACAAACTCCCCAAAACCCAGTAATGAAGCCAAGAGCCATGCTAGCATAAAACCCAAAGCTTATGAGATTATCATCTCCATCTGCATCAATGTCACGTGCATTATTGGGATTCAGATTTGAATTCCCATCTTCTGGACATCTCTCTGTAAGTGGCATGCCACAAAGCCCCTGGTTTCCTATATAACCGGAGGCATTGAAGGATTGAAGTTGGGTGCCCGTTGGAATTTTTCCTGATAAATTGTTGAAGGCCAAGTTCAACATACTGAGAAAACTCAAATTTGAGAAGCTGATTGGAATTTCACCAGAAAGAGAGTTGTATGACAAATCAAGTGATTCCAGCCTTTCCATTTGACCCATGTTGATAGGAATGCATCCTTTCAAATGATTTCTTGACAAGTTCAGGGAAGCCAATGCCACAAGTGCAGCTATGCTACTTGGGATTTCTCCTGTTAAGTCATTGCATGAGAGATCAATGGTTTTCATGAATCGAAGATTCTTTCTGTACTCAACATATGCTCCTTTCCATGACAACATTGCTGTGTCCATGAATGATGATTCAATACCGTTTCTAGAAACATTATAAGAAATTTCTGGGCTCATAGATGTCATATTTGACATAGCATTCAAATTACCAAAGCAATGAGGTATATTTCCTGTTAAATTATTTTTTGAGAGATCTAAGATTTGAAGATGTGGCAAATTACATAAATTTGTAGGAATGCTTCCGTGAAGCCTATTTGCTTGCAAACGTAAGCCAATCAAATTGTGGCAATACTGCCCTATCCATGATGGCATTTTTCCAGTCAAATTATTCTGTCCAAAATCAATGAACAGCAAGTACGAAGAATTCATCAAAGCTGGCAAATTCCCAGAGAGGTTATTGCTATTCAAATGGATACTTGCAAGAAAGTTCAAAGTACCAACTGAGTTTGGTATTGGTCCAGAGAAATGATTGTTTTCCAATCTCAGAACCCTCAAGGAAGGAAGTTGTCCCCAACAATCAGGAAGTTTTCCCGACAAAAAATTGCTTGAAATGTCAAGATGATATAAATTGCTTGAAGAGTTGCACAGATGAAAGATATGGTCCTGAAAACATATTGTTTGAGAGAAGCAACGCCAATGTTGCATTTGGTGGGAAATATGGTAGGGGACCGGAGAGATTGTTGAAACTCAAATCCAAAATAAAATGGTCAATTTTCAAGAGTGATTTTGGCAACTCCCCATAAAGTTTGTTATGGGAAAGATTCAAGTCTTTTAAAGAAGATTGCCAAAGCCATTGAGGAATTGAATCTGAAATTGACGCATGCGAAATGTCCAACGTGTTAAGCTCCCTTTGATACTTTAACCAGCAGGGAAAGTGGGGACCAAAATTACACGATACTGCATGAAATTCTTGCAATTGAAAAGGTGGCACCCAATGCGAACTGAAGTTGAAAAAAATCATATTTTGTGACATATCTAAAACTATCAAGTTAGAGAGAGTTGAAAGATGTGTTTCATTAATGACAGAATTCAACCTATTGTTGGACAGATCTAAGAAAGTCAACGATATAAATCTGGCAAACACCGGCAATGGCCCTGTTAAATTGTTATAACTCAAATACAATTCGAAAAGGTGAGATAAGTGCCCAAATGATTGTGGAATTGACCCATGAAGACTAGTGTTCTCAAGTTCTAAACTCGCCAGATTTGAAAATCTTGAAAAATTGGGAAATGGTCCGCTACTAAAAGGATTGTCACTTAACTGCAAGTCCTCTATACTATTTTGAGCGCACCTTAACTGTGGTATCCAATCACTTAATTGACCTGAAAAATTGTTGTTCCTCAACGACAACGATTTCAATCGGCACAAATTGGGGATGGATTTTAGCATGCTGTTCTCAAGTTTATTGTCTTGAAGATCAAGAAATTCAATGGAAGTGGTGTTTGGGAAAGCATCCGAAGGAATATGTCGCAAAGAATTACCATCAAGAGATAAAGATTCAAGAGAATTCATATTTGAAAAAGTATTTGGAAAAATATGTTCCAAAGCGTTATCACCGAGATAAAGACCTGTTAAGACGTTGCTAACGTTAGACAACCAGGGTAGGATTGAAGAGTCTAAATTATTTCCTGCAAGAGAAAGGACTTTGAGGGACTTGGAAGAGTTTGTGTGGACAAAAGATGCGGGATTGAAATGATGAGATATAAGATCACAATCTACTAAGTAAATCTTAGATAGATGAGGAGCTTTGGATAATGATGATTGCCAATCAACAGCTTGACGCAGATTAACGCCTGAGAGGTAAAGAGATCTCAAAGAAGAAAGGTGAGAAATCCACTCAAGATCTTTCACAATCAAATCATTATAGCCAAGGTCGAGATATTCCAAACTGGATAGATTCTGCAGTCCACGAGGAATAGTGCCACCAATTGAAGCATCCGAAATACTCAACTCTCTTAGTTGACCAAGTGAGCCAATGCATTCTGGAATTTTGCTCCCTTCGAAATTGTTTCCATCGAGATTCAAGTGACTTAGATGCCGCAAATCACATAATGAGGAATCGATATTACCTCTCAATTCCTTGTAAAAAAGAGCCAGCTGGATAACATGACCGGTCAAATTACTGCATGATACTCCACTCCACTCACAGCAATCAGCTTCACTTTTCCAGGTGGATAACATGCCGGACGCATCAACGAAACCATGTTTTAATTTGAGAAGAGCTTCCTTATCTGTCTGCGCAACTGATGTTTATATTGGAACATCCTGCACACCAAAAGAGACATAAAACTCCAACAAGCCAAAAGAAATTGAACTTAGAGCTGAACATGCCTAGGATTCTTTTCATTTGGATATGGTAAGAACAGGGGAGGCGTCTTGTGGATGTGAAGTGAGTGATCCATGGGTCATTTATACACAAGCGGTTCACCAAAGTTTTCAAATAATTTTATTTTAGAATCTAGAAATATTGGCGTCAACTAACGTGATAAATATTAATAACTCAGTAGAGGAAGATTTTTGGTTCATGAAAAAGGACTATAATTTTTATTTAAAGTAAAAACAATTGATGTTTAAAACATTCTTATCATTTAATTAATTTGATTAGTCTAAATTTTCTATTCAGAAAGCAAATTATCTGAATCAGCTGATGAAATTTTATTTGAAATGATTGTTTAATTTATAACCTCAAATTAATTCATCAGTAGTTAACATTAATAACTCTCATATGAGGCATTCTGGTCATGAAAGGTCTCTAAAAATAACACGTAGAAAAGGTTGTCGTTGCATGAACGATTGATTTGTGTCATTATCTTTAACAACGTCAGTGGCACACTCATCAACATCACTATCATTTGAGGAAATTATCATTGACGATTATGTGGTTGGAAATTTTTGTTCATGCTGTGAGAAGGTTCGTCTCCTTTTTCGTTCTTCAATAGATGAACATATGGATCAGACTTGAACCAAGATCTACGTATAAAGCACAAATCACGCCAAATTTCTTTTAATTTTATTGAAGTTAATATTAATTATCTGAGTCTAATGCCTTCAGTAGAATTTTAAATTATTCATCCACATATATCATTATTTATTTATTCTGGTGAAATACGAGGAGCATATTTTACCAGCAGTAAAAGCTAATCTCTTTTGGGTAATATAATAAACAAATCTCTTCAGCTAAATTTTCTCCATTCACAATTATTAAGAACCAATCATCTAATTGACACGCATATTGTCTCATTTTGATTGGTTGAAGAATATATGTGTGTGAATATATGTATTACTTATAAAAATATTGTTATAATTCATCAAGTAGATGTCCGAAAAATATCACAGAACATCAATATTCTCTCAAAACCTTCCCTAATTTTCTAAAAAATTGTCCTATTTTTATTTTTTTTAGATATATGTATGAATTATAAAAATATTGTTAATAATACTTGTAATGAATCAGCAATTGCTTCTATTAATTTTTTTTTCAGAATTCAAATTGCTTAAATTTCATTTGAGGTTAAGTTAAAAAAATTCTTATCATTTAATTAATTTGATCAGTTAAGTTTTCTCTTAAAATGGAAAATCGTTTGATAAAAGTTCATTTGAAATAATTATTTAATTTCTAACTTAAAATTAATCAATAGTTAATATCAATCACTCATTTGAGGTATTAGGGTAACAAAGGGCGTCCAGAAAAACAGAAATAAGAAGTTGCTGTAACATTCATGACTAACTTGTATCATTAATTTTTAATAATATATCTGACCGTTTTCTACGAAATTTTTGTGATCGCAAATTTTCATTCATGTCATATGAAAAGGTTCATCTCTTTAACCGGTTCAAGCTTGAATATGCGAATCAAGCTTGAATCAAAATATAAATGACGCCGAATTTAATATTCTGAACTTAGTATTAATTACATTTATATGAGACTATAAATGACGCCGAATTCCTTTTAATATTATTGAAATTAATATTAATTTCATTTATATATATGAGACTGTAAATGACACCGAATTTTTTTTTAATATTATTGAAATTAGTATTAATTTTATTTATATCAGTCTCATGCCGTCAAAATATAAAACTTAAATTGATCATCCACATATACCGTTATTTGTTTATTCTCGTGAAATACGAGGACCATACTCCACTGACCGTAACCATTAAGGCTATTCTCTTGTAATTGAACAGTTAGATATCAAAATATGAAAAAAAAAAATGAGTATGTTGCGTTAATTTATTAGTGCTTCCTCCCAATAATATAAATAATATAAAAATTAGATAACTAATTTAAAAATATTAGTTAAATTAATTATTTGAAATAAATATATATTGATTTTTTTAAAATATCATTACCAAGCGCATGCATTATAATTATCTTTTAATAAAATCTTGATATGTGTAATTAATAAATTTTTTTAAAATAAATTACAAATTATGACACAAAGGGAATTAACTATGTCGATGGACAAACACGGGTTGGACTTATCAGAGTCAGAGTAAATTCCTACTTTATCTTTTTATAGCTAACGTGCGTCAGTTTGATTGGTAGAGGAAGATATATGAACGAGGTAAGGGCAATGCGGTACCTTAGATGATGACTCTTTTGTCTGTACCATATAAAATGGCAAAATCACTATTAAATTTTAAAATAATAAATATGTGATTTTAACATATTTTACTCAAAATCATTAGAAAAGTAGTCAAATACTCAAATTTTTTATAAGAGTAGTTAGCATGACATATTTATCATTTTAAAATTTAACAGATATTTTTCCTTTATTTTTCCTAATTAAGTTACATAAATTAAAAAAATTAGTTATTTATAAAAAATGTATTATTTTTTTAAACTATCATCTTTAGCTATTTGCATTAAAATTACCCATAAATGAAAATCCTTTTAATATGTACAATCTCTCTCGAGCATTAGAGATTTTTTTTTAAAAAACCACTTTAATCCTTTTTGTATTTCCAGGATACTTAAAAATCTCCTCCCTACTATAATTAATGGATTACTCTTCATTTGATAACCCCTTTATTTCTTGGTGAGCATTGAAAATCTATAAGTAATTTTAGAAAATTCGAAATAGCGTGGCTTAAGTCTCTATTTTAAGATCTCAACTTGCTTTCCATTCCTGAAAAGCATGCAACCGAGTTCATTAACGGCTTTTTATTCTTTTTAACCTCTCTTTGCTTGCACGATAATATTTATACATACTTTAGTCACCATCCTCTTAATTTGATCAGTCTTAATTCTTATTGAGAAGGCAAATTGTTTGAACCAACTGATTAAAGTTTATTTGAAATAATTCATTAATTTATAACTTAAAATTAATTAATGGTTAACATCAATCATTCTCATTTCTGGCATTTTGGTCATGAAAAATGTTTAGAAAAAGTATAAATAAGAAGTTGTCGGGGCATGCATAACTGACTTGTGCCATTTACCATCACTGTCATTGACAATGATGTGTTTGCAAATTTTTGTTCATACCGTGTGAGAAGGTTTTTCTCCTTTGTTCAATAGATGAATATACCGATCAAACGTGAATCAAAATCTATGTATAAAATATAAATCACGATTAATTTCTTTTAACTTTGTGTAGTTAATATTAATACAAGGCAACAGCGGAGGGACTGTGGCTTTTCCAATTTGATCAGTCTAGTAGTAGAGCGCGATAATGAAGATGTTGTAACTAGTTATTTGGATGCTCAAGAGCTATATGGTTGTTGATTTTTATAGCCTGATATTTATTATGTGAGTTGAGCTAAGATGTGCTTGGAATAGCTGTGCAATCTTGTAGAAGAATTTAATTAAACTAAGATTAATGGATATTTACAAATTGATTTATGGAATGATGTAACAAAGAAGTTGGATTATTGTGCAGTATTATTGAGCTGAATTAGAAAACGTTTTTTTGAAAGGTTGATATAATATCCATATATGAAACTCCACAGAAATTTAAATAAAATCCCTTCAACGTTGGCATTGAGTGAAATATTTATATACATAAGCTCATATTTTTAATTTATTGAGACTTACTGAAGAAGAATAATCAACTAAAATTTTCATTGAATAAATTGTTATGAAAAATTCTTTTGGTTCTGTGACACCAGGAGATTTAGGAGTAAGCACATTACAGAATTGTATAAACGAAAGTAAGTAGTATGATTGAGATAAGTAGCTATTTAGTGAATAGCGCTTCATGATAATTTTTATAAATGATATGTTTTTCAATGTTATATTTGTTTATATTATCAATGTTTTTGTTTTAAATATTATTTCATTGAAAACAAATTTGTTGGAACTATAACATTTGTTTATTGATATTTGAATGCCCAGACGAAATAATGATTTTAAATAATGATTTATATATTTTAAAAATGTCCCTGTATGAACTTATATTGTTTGAGAAGAATCCTTCTTCAGTGACTAACAGAATTTGAAAGAAAGTTTTGAAAATGTTATTTGAAAACTTTCATGCTGGGATCATTTGTTATAAAATATTCTTTCTTTATAAGATTTTATTATGGGATACAGATATCTTTCGTTTAATGGTGTATTGATCCCATGCATGCTTGAAAAATGTTTTTTTCCTGAGGACTGAATACAGAACGCTGGTTGTTAACAGCAGTACTGTTAGCTCTTGGTGCACCATGGTTAATATCGAGCTCGCTTGTTATTCGTGGCTTCAGCCGCGCTTGTTATTCGTGGGCATTGTTCTCACGCTTGTAATTCGTGACTCCGGCTGCGCTTGTATTTGTTGCTTCGGTCGCGCTTGTGATGGTGCGCCATGGTTAACATCGAGCTCGCTTGATATTCGTGGGCATCGTTCCCGCGCTTGAATTCGTGGCTCCAGCCACGCCTGTTGGTTACTTACCTCGTGGACTATGTGTCCACGCTTGTCACTCGTTCTGTTGAAGTCCTCAACTGAAAAGAGTTTTTGACACTATTTCGTGATTTGAATTTATAAATAAAGTTTTTTTTAATATCAAAACCTCTTTATATATTTTATTTTATGTTTTTATGGCTTATTATGAATTTAAAAGCAATGGTAAATTATTTATTTTACATGATTATATTGCATAATTTGTTCTTGTAGCCTTTCCTTTACCTTATTTTTATTAATGGGAACTATTGAGTCCTTGTACCTCCCATTGAATAGCAAAGACACTCATTATTAATCAAAGCTTGTAGATACGTTTCCAAATATCTTTTAATGATGTAAATCTAAGTGTACATTTAAAAACAAAAACAAAAAACTTACTATTTTGACAATAATAAATACATATATATATTTGAACTAGAAATAACGGATGAACCCTTAAGATTTTTGTAATTTTTATGGCAAGCATTTGTTTGTATGTCTTAAAGGCTTCAGGAATGTGAGTTCTCATATTCCATGCTGGTCACCCCTTAATTTTCGGGGCGTGACAGTTAACATCAATCAATTTCATGTGAGGCATTATGGTCATGAAAGGCGTCTTGAAAAGTAGAAATAAAATATTGTCGTGGCATGTATGACTGAGTTATGCGATAAATTTCTAATTACGTAAGTAATACTTCGCGAATTTGGCAACACTGACAATCAACATCATTTGTGGAAATTATCATTAACAATTACGTGGATGGAAATTTTTATTTATGCCGTGTGAGAAGGTTCATCTCCTTTGTTTTCTTCTTTTTCAATAGATGAATATATATACATTAAGCTTGCGCATATATAATATAGATTACGTTGAATTCCCTTTAATTTATTGAAACTAATATTAATTTATCAATGAGTCTCTCGCCTTCAATAAAACTTCAAATTATTCATTCATATACTCCCTCCAGTCTATAATATAAGTCACTTCTAAAAGGATGAGTTGGTTCAAAATATACGTCACTTGAAGAATAATTAATACTTAAATATAACTCATTGTATTTTTAACTCTGTTTCACAGCTTTGATTAACATGAACAAAATTGAAAAAGAAATTTATTTAAAACACAATTAATGAATTAATTAACATTTTTTAATATTGATGAATTAGTTAAAATGACTTATATTGTGGACCAAAGGGAATATATCATCATTTATTTATTGTGGTGAAACACGAGGAGCATTAAAAGCTAATCATTTTAAGGTAATAGACCAATCCCTTCCAACTAAATGTGCTCCATTCACAAGGATTACGCATCAAACGTCTAATTCATCTATGTAACCACTTAATTAAGTGGAAAAAAAACACTCCAAATTAAATTAAAAACATAAATATATACTCGATTTGCATTAATTAGATATCTATATCGATTTGCATAAATATATGAGTGAGTGTATATATATCCAATTAGATATCTTTTGATTTGCATTAATTAGTAGCTTGCTAATAGCATGAACTAGCTTTGATTGATCAGAATCAGAATAGTAGGTATATATTATATAATTCCTGCAGGGAGTTTTAAAACATAATACTTGATGGTTTTTCTTTGTAACCGTCAAGTATTTTAAAATAATATTTGACGTTTATAATGAAAAACTGTCAAGTATTATAAAACTTGACGGTTTAATCTTTAAACCGTCAAGTTTACCTTAACAATACTTGATGGTTATATTAAGTATTATTATAGAAAACTTGACTGTTTTTAAAAAACCGTCAAGTATTATCGAATGAAACTCGACGGTTCCTATTAAAACCGTCAAGTTTTCTCCCGACATACTATATTTGAAGGTTTTTTGTTATAACCGTCAAGTATTTAGCGTCAAGTATTCCTTATTCTGTAGTAGTGTTGGCTTTTCTTTTTATAGATACCATGGATTTGTTTGATTGGTTGCGGCGCACACACACACATATATCCCCCGAACTCCATTGACTTCAAGTTCAAAGAAAAAAAACAAGAAGAAAAAGAGAAAAAAAAAGTTTCTACACGCAAGGACATAGATATATTTTGAAGTATGATTAGAGTACGTGTCCGAAAAATATAACACAACTATATTAATCAATTTTATTTGTTTTCGAATATATTTTCCTCTGATCCATACTTCAAGTCTCTACATTAAACTGCTTTTGGTTGAAACTCACGGTTGAAACAACAATATGATGAAGGGGAACTAGGATGTGTGTGTGTGTGTGTGTGTGTGTGTGTGTGTGTGTGTGTGTGTGTGTGTGTGTGGGGCTTGCAACATAATTAAAATGCTGGGGAATGAGACTAACTTCAAAATAAACTCCAACAAGTGATGATGGGATAATCTTAATATCAATTAATTTATTAATTAACTAGAGTTTGGGTGATAACACCATATGGGTCATACTGATATGTGATTGGCCCGACCAGAATATCAATATATTAAAATATAAGTCGCTTCTGAATTTCTTTCAATTTCATTGAAATTAATATACCATGCATCTTTTTGATTGGTTGAGGAATATGTGTGTACCGAGCTCGTTTGAATTGAAGGTCAAAAACAAAACAAAAAACAAAAGAAAAGAAAAGAAAAAAAGCTCGTTTAACTCTTCTACATTTTATTCTACACGTCAAGATATAGATACTATAATTACTCTCAATTGAGCCATTCTGATCATGAAAGGTGACTAGAAAAGAAGAAATAAGAGGCTGTTGTGGCATGAATAACAGATTTATGTGATTAATTTCTAACAACGTAAGTGACACTCCATAAATTTATTATCCCCATCACCATCATTTGTGGAAATTATTATTATCGAGGATGATGTGGTTGGAAATTCTTGTTCATGAAGTGTGAGAAGGTTCGTTTCCTTTTTCCTTCGTGAATAGACCTATTGCTTATAAAATTAAATGTAAATCACGCTGAGTTTCTTCTAATTTTATCGTAACAAATTAATTTTATTGATCTCAGTCTCATGCCTTTAATAAAACTGAAATTAGTCATCCGCATATATCATTTTTTTTTTTAATTCTAGTGAAATACGAGGATCATACTTCATTAGCAGCAAGCTGATCTCTTTTGGGCAATAGGCAAATCTCTTCCCAGTAAATTTGCTTCATTCACAAGGTTTGTGGGAATCAAACATTTAATAGATATCAAAATAGAAGAAAAATATATATGAGATTGTGTTGCATTAATTTGTATATGAGTTTGATTGGTTGAGGAAGAGAGATCGTTTGACTAAAGGTAAAAAAAAAAACAAAAAGAAAAAAGCTCATTTGACTCTTCTATTTATGTTCTGCCCGTAAAGACATGGACACGGTAATGAGCAGGTATTATTACTGCCATAAAAATACTAGACTATATTAATAAATTTTATTTTTTCAAATATATGTATTACTTATAAAAATACTGTTAATAATACATGCAATAATTTCTGCTAGTATACTATTTTTTTTTTCAGAATTCAAATTGCTTAAAATTTATTTGATATCAAGTTATAAGATATGTTAAATAGATACAAGCATATAATTTATTGAAAGTAAAATATTAGAATTGCTAGCTTCATTGTTAAACCTTGAAAAAAACTTCCACTTAAAATTTAGAAAAATGATAAAAAAAAATTCAGGTAACACCTTACATCCGGTCCCTCCAATTAATAATTTTGCAAAGTTTCAAACTTCCTGAACACGGCTTTGACTAATCAGGATTAGAATAACATGCGTTGGAAAAATCCTCCCATGACTTTCCAAATTTCTAACAATATGGAAATGACGCTTAATAGTGTTTCTTCTTCATTCTTTTTTTCGGTCGGAAAATTAGGAGTAAGGATTTTTTAGAAATCAAAGTGGAACTCCCTTTTTCTCCTTGAATATATGTGCGTGTGTGCGTGTGTGTCTGTATTTTTTTGGGGGGGGGGGGGGGGGAAGCATTGTTATGGTCAGTTTATGTAGTATATGAGAAGGTTCTTCTTAATTCCTTTTATCCCCTGAATTAATCGTCCGCTTTAGATCATAGACGATTGTGAGTAGAGGACGACTGTTTCACAACAGTTTTAGATGATTTATTGTTGTAGGCTTTTCGAGGGTGATAAGCGCCTAGACTAATTAGATCTGAATTGTACAGATATAACATGGATGGTCTAGATTTAGGTATTTTAATTATTTATTTTTAAATAAAAAATTATTTTTTGAAAAAAATAGTTAAGGGATTATTTTTGTTTTAAACTTTATACTCGTTAAAATGATTGTTTTACAAAATAAAATAAAAAATTAAATTTGCACCTCTAAATCTGACAAGCTTGGAATGTTCATCATCACCCAAACTCATTCCTTTGTTATTGTGTTTACTTATTAGAGACTATTGCTTTTTGTGTATGGTCTGGTAGTTGATCTGTGCTGATAGCTTCTGATGTTTGAATGACGCTATTCGTTGTTGCTCTTTCTCTCCTAAAAAAAAATACACGAGTTCTATTAAAAAAAAAACAAGAAAATATAGATATGATATTTCCTCACAGTCCTAAACATAAAAGTAAAAAAAAAAAATTACAAATTCATTAGGAAATTTTGTTTAGTTATTTGTGAAAAAAGCATGTTGATTTTCTTAAAATTTCCTTTGTATTGGGGACTACTACCTTAACAGAAAACCTTCTTAATATGTATAATTAATAGAAAGAATTTTTAAAAAAATTATGACTTTTGGACATTAAATTAATTGATATTATATTTAGAATCAAAACAAATTCTACTAACTCTTATTTAAAGATGATATCAACTAGAAGCAAAGTTATTAGCCCTGTCTGTTTGAATTTATTATTGATATTTGTATCATATTTTGAAAAGTAATTTTATACTTAATTTAGTACGAAAAAATTGCGCATAATGACAAAAAATTACTCAAAAAGGAAGAAGCAAAGTTACACATTTATTGTATTAAATAAAAAAAATTATATGCCGGCAGAATCTAGTGAGGCAAGTAAATATGTGCTAGAAATAAAATAAATTTGATTCTGGCACAAAAATGTTTAATCTATTATCTTTGTAAGTTGAACCATCGTTATTTGTGTGAGCAATTGTTCCATAGTTAATTATATGACCCATAGCCATGATGAGTCCATTATCTTGAGTTTATTAAATAGAATAGCTTTTAATATAATTGATTTTTTATAAATACTGCAGTAGTAGTAATAGAATTAATAAATGGTTAACATCAATCAATTTCATGTGATGCTTTATGGTCATGAAAGGTGTCTTAAAAAATAGAAATAAAAGATTGTCGTGCCATGTATGACTGATTTGTATGATAAATTTCTAATAACGTAAGTAATACTTCTCGAATTTAGCAACACTGACAATCAACATCATTTGTGAAAATTATCATTAACAATTACGTGGTTGGATATTTTTATTTATGCAGTATGATCGAGATGGTTCATCTCCTTTGTTTTCTTCTTCAACAGATGAATATATATGCCAGTCAAGCTGGGGCATATAAAATATAGATTACATTGAATTCTCTTTAATTTATTGAAACTAATATTAATTTATCAATGAGTCTCTTGCCTTCAATAAAACTTCAAATTATTCATTCGTATATTCCTTTCCGTCCATAATATTCTGGGAGAGTTGTCTAGTCCAAAATATAAGTCACTTGAAGAGTAATTAACACTTATTGCTTCGTCCCTTATTACAAGATCCTTTTAACTAAATTATGCAGTTTAAGAAAACAGTTAAAATTAGTTAAGAGCAATTAATATGTGGTAAATATAATTTTTTTTCAAATATACCCCTATATATAAATGGGTAGATGTGAGAGAGTAATAGTGAGATAAATGAAGAAAGAGAAAGTATTAAATGTATTAAACTAGGGGTAAAATAGGTAATAGTGCATTAAATGTTCAAACAAACTCATGAGGGATCTTATAAAAAAGGACAAACCTATTCAAAAAATGGAATCTTATAATAAGGGACGGAGAGAGTATTTATTAGATTTGTCCCTACAATTAATGCTTAAATATAAGGGAGAATTACATTCAAGTCCCACATAAGAGAAATAATCACTAAAAAGTCCGAAGTAACAACCTGAGCAACCTGTAATAACAAGTCCTACAGTGAGAATGACAACCTCTGGGACTTGTTTTTTAATTACTTGGGACCTCATTGTAATTCTCCCTAAATATAACTCCTCATATTTTTAATCTCTCTTTCACAGCCTTATTTAATATGAACAAAACTAAAAAAAATTTTATTTGAAACACATTTAA